TGCTGACGACCATTTCTAACCTGGATTCAGGGATTGACTGGGTGAGTGAGCCTTTACTCCACTTCTAGCAATATTCGAGCAATATCACGGTGGAGGGAAGCCAAACAGTGGGCTTCATGCGTATTGTATCCATGTGGAATTCTGTGCTTTGGGCTTGCTGGAGCCAGTAGGCCAGCCCATCGAGCCGACGACAGCTAGAAGTGATGATATTTAATGTAACACATTACTAGTTAGTCCGATCCCCCACTAGCAGCCAATGCAACACATGAACTATTACAATAAACAACATTCACCAAATATCATACCACGTTGTATAGTAAGATGTACATGTACATCTGTGCATGGTTTCCGTCATGCATAACCCGATGGTGTTCAAGAAATCTCGACCGATTTCGTTACCACTATTTACACTTGGAAAACAAACTAAGGATTTCATCAGAACACTGCCTTTTCAATCACGTCATGTGAAAAAAAAGGAAGTCAGTGGACATTTATTCCATTTAAGTCCTAATCATAGGCTAACATGTATAAAGTGATGTTTTAAGCACCTTGGAACTTCTTAAAAGAGAACCCGTTAAAAAGGTGGACGGATTTCAGGCCCGCGTGTAAAATGTATAACATATATGTAGGCATTTCAAACGGCTTGTGATCTGTCTCGCATCGGAGAACTTTTAAACGACAAAATAAGTGAAGTAGAATGGTTCTGTTCAATGCTACAACATGGATGAAAACAAACTACAACTATAATAAATGATCACAGCCGTAATGTTATATGAAGTAACTTAGCACAATTTCAGGCAGTTGCCTAATTCGACGAATGAATCCGTTAATATCCACATACAGGGACAGTAATACGTACGTATATTGATCTGCCAAGGCACTTTACGCCAACAAATGGGTGTATCCAGGGTGCGTTAGAATGGGTAAGATAAATGTACTAACTACTTCTTTATTTACAATGAAGAGCGACGTTTCTTTGTCGATTCTAGCACCGTTATCAAGTGAAGTGATTTACAGGGTGGTGTTGGGATCCATCCCTGTTGTATACAACACTGCCCTGATATGAAGTAAGATAAGAGACTATTAAGACGGTAATAAATAAGATAAGAGACTCATAAGTCGATAATAAATAAGATATGATAAGAGACTATTAAGACGGTATTAAATAGGTTAAGAGACTTATAAGTCGATAATAAATAAGATAAGATAAGATACTAATAAGTCGATAATAAATAAGATAAGATAAGATACTAACAAGTCGATAATAGACTTTAAACATTTCTGTACAAAAACGAAATTACGTGGTCTAAACATATAGTTATATATAAGATTCATGAGAGGTATTTAGAAGTTGGAGAATATACAAGATGGGAGTATGTTGATCCTGATTGGCGATGGAGATTAACCCCAGAGATTAATAAAGATCAAGGCGTATACCTCCCTAGTGCCTGGAACATCTCTAAAGTCGAACCACACCCACCTCTTTGTCACTTAATTAGCTGTATATCACACTGCTGTGTTCACATCTCCTTATACTCATTCTTTGTGTCAACTGGCTTTATCTTATCTCATTATCATTGTATTCATAACTTCTTTCATCTGGCCTCATTAATGTGGATTGTATATTCATGTACATCTCTGGCTTCCTGTAAATCTAATTGTCACTTAATTAGCTGTATATCACTCTGATGTATCCACATCTCTATATTCTCATTGTTTGTGTCAACTGGCTTTACCTTATCCCAGTTACCATTGTTTTATAACTGCTTTTGATCGGCCCCTTTGTGATCTGTAAATCTGGTATATATAGTTTGTTTTCTACATCTGTCTTAAATCACCTGAAGAAGAGGCAAGAAGGAGCCCAGAAACGTTCTGATATACAATAAACAAAAAGTTGCGATCAATATACTCGGCTTATATAGCTATATATACTAACCCACTTTTCAGAGGTGGCGCCTGTGATATCACAAAGTGAAAAGTCCCTTCGGAATCCAAAGTAATGAAATGATTCTGTGTTCATGATGTTCCGGTATTTATATAGTTTTATTCAACTGCATAGCTGGGACAGAAGAGGAATGTCATTTTGTCAAATCTAAAAGTAAGATTAAACTCACCCCTTTACTTCCATGCAACCTAACCAAATACCATAGAGACATCCGGATTTTTAATCTGTATCACTTGATTTTGTCAGCTTCAAGATGAGCTTGACTACGTAACGAACATCCCACCATGGGACAAAAAACCGCTGTCGCGATCAGTGCTCATTTACAAAGTCATCAGTCGGGGCCAGTTATTACCAGCGCTACAGTAAGCCGTTAAATGCACATTTGACACGATTTCAGCATCTCGACTATAAGTACTCATTGCCAAACTACCCCCATTCATGATATTACACGTCGACCGCCGAACAGACAAATCTAGGGCTTAAAGGTTAGTCAGTGTTAGCAGGGCATATCAAACTGTTTACGGACTTACCTTGACAAACGGAGCCTTTTAAACATACAGCGGCCAGCATGACAGTCACTGCACTCAAGAATGTACATCTCTTATCCATTATATACAAGAAAATCGACTCTTTATACGTATCTAAACAACTCACACAACCTTCCAGGGCCGATGTGGCTTATCAGAAAGATCACGCCATAATAAAGGGACATAAGTCAAATTGTTATAAGAACACTGTTATGTGTTGAGGTTACACAACACTAAATGTTATCCCATAGACCTCTATAGTAACCTTTATATTTTTTTAAAATTCATCCAACTGTCAACAGTCATTCCATGTTCACAAGGGTGCAGTCTGGCCTTTAAACAACAATACAAACACAAATGTTTACGCACGCTACTCGCTCAGGAAGCATGTGATTCTGATTTAGTGTTGTACAACCTTGATGCTCCCGTAAAAGATCGAAATGACAGCATCTTCAATGACCTAAGGGGATCTTATGATTTCTCTTATGTATGCGATCTGATTGGCTTTGTTAAGTGTCACAAACGACCAGCAGACCTGTCAGGTTTCAGGTAGTACCGCTGGTAAATTTAAAAAGTTAGTTGCAGGGACCCTGATATTAATTACGAAATAGCGAGGCAATACTAGATTGCTTAAATGATTCAGATGCTAACGGAATATACGCATAAGCTTACGGTATACGTTAAAAGAACAAACAAAGATATATTGCATGCAAGCAATTTAATTTTAAGCTGTTTTTTAAAAAGTGGTTGGAAACGGCTATTAAACATTGTATCCCAGAACAGAAGCGAATCTCTTACTTACTATTCTACACTGGCACCGATTTCTGGGTTAACGAATTACGACATGAAATGTGTGTTTTCTGTGTGGAGTCCTTGATTTGTGTCACCAAGATTCACATTTGGGAATTCATGTCAACAGTTCGCACTTCAACTAAATATTCGAATGGGAGAACGGCAGACCTGGCTGTCCAGTCAGCTTCAGAGAGAACGATTTCAAATTATCTGCTTAGTGGCCTACTCCTGCGAGTATAAACCGTTTAATATCGAAGTTTATATGCTATGTGTTTAAATTTTACTTTTTTTGTACCATGTCATGCCATGTTGAGAAGAGCCCGTTGCTATAAAGACTTATATACGTTTGAGCTACGTGACAGGTGTTAACAAACACTAACACGGAATAACCGACGGTATATTTGGACACAGGAACAATGCCAGAGACATTGTTCATCCCGTTATGGCACTTAGATAAATATTAAGGCATAGATCAGAGAACAATTTCAAGTTGCAGAGCACATTGAATTGGTCTTCTCAACTGTTTGCATATGAATAAGGGGTCTCCTTCATTCAGGATTCATGCCGGAAGCTGACGTCCCCATGACCCCCTGTAAAGTGGCCCAGCTTTGGTTGCTGGTTGTCCATAGCCCGTGTTTAATATCCTTACAAAATCTTATCACGTGTCATTACAATGAATGATTAGTGCACATGATCATTTTCGGATGGAAGAGAAGCATAAATATTTCTTGCTTCCAACCGCGGTATAGATTTGGTCGTGACAATTGTGCACCATCTTGTCATCTGGACATTTCATCTTGTTGAGAGTTGTCTGATTCCAAGATATCACCCTGTCACAATATCACAACAGTTGGAAATATGGAAACCTGATGGCAAATCAATACTTATATCAGCCTTAATAGATTTGGTATTACTTTTTTCTTCAGTTCTCTTTCTTCTATGTCTTTGTTGCAGTAAAGACCCCATACAAGCCAAGCAAATATTGTGTATCCCTGTCACCGACCTTATCGTGAAATACGCACACACAGGCCACAGACTCACCTGTGTGCAGAAATACTCCATGAGCGACAAAACGTGTGTCCATGACTCTAGATGATAGGTCGGAGGCTCTATACAACTGTGAAGCTGGTTATGCAAGAGGTGATTTCAGCTGATATCTATCAGTATTGCTTTGTAGCAGTTGGACAACTGATATTTAGAAACCTCCATATATTCTGATCAGGACAGCTATGTATAGCTACTTACAGTTTGCTGGGATTCACCACTGTAAAGGGTTATACTGCAAAGTGTTCATCCGTTGAAATAGGAAAGGACAAACTTTCGTATTGAAATATTTAATGTACAATGGCATTCGTGGTTATGCGCCACGTAAAGGTGACGGAAACAAATTCGTTGTCTGAAAAAGACGCACTCTCGGCTGCGCTTTGTATGATGCAGATGATACGCCACAGACCTGCACCGTTGGTCTTTGCTCCCAGTTTGTGTCTGGGAAGATGACTGTTCTACACTTCAGTGGGACCATAGTGAGGGGTGATCTGCAGCACATTTCATCTGCGTTCAATAAGACTGAGGTCTCATGACAACAGAATGAGGCTGTTCGGTATATCCCAAAAGGTTGATATGATTGCATCAGTACACAGTGCACACACAGAATGTCGTCATTGTGGGGCTCACCTGTCATCGAATAGGAGATAGCTTCTGTGACCTCTACTGATCCCTCTCCAAATCATGACTAGTCACGTCCATGGTGGTTATGGCATTACTGGCAGATTTCGGATTTGTAGTGTTGTAGTTCCATTTATGGAACCATGTTTCCACATGATCACCAAACGGATGTGTGAAAATATTTTTATTTACAATGTGATACATTTAACGTTAAATATTCAACAAAGATGAGATCTAAATAGACACAATACAAAAATAAACAAATACAAATAGAGGCTTATACTAATGATTTGACGTTCACTTGATTGTTAAGCAGGTGTTTTCTTCTCTAAAAGTGCATGTATCAATGATACTGATCTTGCAAACACAAAATAATGAAAAGTTGAGAAAATTAAAGAAGATGTGTTGCCGCAAAGGAAAGGAATGCAGTACGTTAAACGTATTTCGTGATCAGCACCTGGCTCTAATATCATGATGTATATGCTGGTGCTTCGTTAACTGTGTCACTGCTCGGGACCTGAAAAATTACAGAACTAAAGGTAATCACACACATATGTGATATCAACTCAAATATCATAGAAGCAGTATGTTACATTTTAACAGGAGGCTGAGCATATGTTTAGGATTACGCAGATGACTATTCATGAACACTGTTGATCCATGGCGATGACACAAGATTCCAGTCAGCAAGATTGTTCCTTGTGTTAGTTACCTTGAGAATGTGCCCCAGTGTTCTGGTATGGCGATGCCCTGATGGACTCATATGTCACAGGAGGATTCTCGGTCATGCCTTCATAGGTACTTGTATCTCCTGCAGCATTCTCTGAAGATGATATTCATTACATATTTCATCAATAAACTTAAATTGTAACGCCCTTCTTACCAGCAGTTCAATAATCTAACCTTTCCCATGAAATTCAACTTAGTACAGGAAAGACCAACATCTGCATATACCTTTTTGTATTCTGATAAATCTTCAACTGAGAGTAGTGTCGCTTTTCTGATTCCTCCTCCAAATTGGAATACTGAGCTGGACCGTTAATCTGATCTGAAGCAAATACATATGACAAGATTGTAATTATTTTGCTACTGAAACAGACCCAGGGATAATGATAATATCAACACAATGAACAACCTGACACCAGTACATACCTAATGATGAATATCCTCTGTTGTCCATTTCCACAGGTTCGGGATTCCTGTTAAACACACAAAAACAATGCAAAGATTACAAAGATGGACTCTGGCAGAACAGTATAGTTGTAAGTTCCTAAAACAATTTATCAGGGAGTATGTGTATTTGTTATCTCTTTACCATATTTAATAATTTCGTTACATTGTTATACATGTATTCAACATTGAAATATACCTTCTTGCCGATCCACTTCCTGGAAAACAAAAATAGCCAGATGGGATGGTATTTAGTGTATAACACACACCCTTCATGGAAACAAGTCGCATTGATCGAAAAATGAAATTTAAAAAAAGAGATAAATGCAGCAGTATGCCAAAAATGAATGTAGTACGTAATAATCGCAACATTTAACATGTATTTTGTTAGTGAAACTAAATCTTGTTTTGTGAATACCAACTGCAAATGTATCGTAAAATAGAAATCCTAATGATATGATATTTCTTTCAAGCATATCACTCAAAAAGTATGGAACAGCAATTGGAGACTATATCGGTTGACCCTTGAATAGCTTGCATCCTTATACAACTTAAATGTAACCACATACCTTTTAATATTTCTGCACCTGTATCCGTTTATGTAGAGTACCGTCAGTACAATTCCCACAATGAGCAAGTGATGGATATCCCGCCTACCACTGTTCCTGCTGTATACTCCAGTACTAGTAGATGGAGTTTCGGAGTTTTGTTTGTGGATCTACAACATAACGTAAACATCATAACAGACGATTACTTATCGTATGTCACTGTATCAGGTGAAAGGGTGACAGTGATCAGTAGACTTGTGTCCAATCACACAGAAAATATAAATACGGGAGAGATGACTTCTAGGATCTATTCAGACTGATATTGCTAACTCCAGATACACATGTTTACACTCAGAATGCAGTTTCTTCACGGTGCACACAACAAGATATGCGATACTCTGGTAGTACTTAACACAGACACAAGAGCAGTTACCTTTCTTGTGGGTTCACAAAATCCCATCGCCCGACGCCCGGGACAAGTCAGTTTTCATTTCGGGCAATCAGATAAATGGTATCTTACTTGTCCGTGGGCTACCAGATAATTTCCACTTCCACTTCTCAAACTGCAAAACTTTGATTCAGTTCTCACATCTGCTCAAAATGTAGCTACTAAATTCCCTGCAATGATAATAAAAGTAGAGTTATCTTTCTTTGCTATTTATCACTTTTCAATAAATAGTCCAGTAAACATTAACATCAAATACCATGTTGATTTCTTCTTTCATAACTACATCATCATCATAATTATGTCATAAAATCAGGGCAAGTGGAAAATCAGTCAGGACAAGTTACTTTCTTTAAAGTCACTTGCCCTGTAGGCGCGGCTTTTTAAAATAAATTTGAACCCTGGTCTGTTCATTAAAGTCCATTGCCACTCGCAGATTTAATAAAAAATAAGACATCCCAATGGTGCTATTAAAAGTCAAAATAAATTCTTTTAAATAAAAATGGTTGGTACTGGGAATGATGAGTTAGCAATATGATTTAACTGACACTTGAAACAATGTATGGTTCTCCTTGAGTGACACATACCCCCAGCAGTTTCAGATGCTACAAAGACATATCCCCATAGTCATTTTTAGCAAGTAGTCGGAATGTAAATCTCTCCAGATATAAGGCCCGTTACGTCCAACAATTCATCCTCTCGCCTTTTTATCATCATTCGAATTGTACACAGTCCACTTTCTTGTACCAGATTGAAGATACTCAATCAGAAACGTCTGAGGGCGTCCACCATTGAACCCAGGCAGCCACGACAGCCATACCGACGACGTTGTTGCATTATCCAGATCTCGAAACTGTGACGGTATCTGTGGTGGTCCTTCGCAACAAATTAATACGAACGTTGTCATGTTGGAATGTTCAAGTGCAATAAAATGGAAGTAATGATCAATCATCCAAAAAATAGTTGTGAACTGGGATGTTTTATGACAGGGTTTATGCATTTGTGGTCTATGTCGACTGTAATTCAGCCTCGTCGTGACTAAAACAACTCGCAGTGAGTGAGTATGGTTTTACGCTTTTAGCAATATTTCAGCAATATCATAGCAGGATAAACCTAAAATGAACTTCCCATATTGCATTCATGTAGGAAATTCAGCCCAGACGTTCGGCGACGAGCGAACGTTTTCATCATTAGGGCTGCCCCAGTCCTGAACTAGAAAGTAACAGTTAAAGGTCACATGCAACGTAAAACACAACTTTGCAGATTCTGATACCTTTCGGTATGGACTTACCGAAACAAATCATCAAAAATGCAAATTCAACTTATAAAGTTGAAAAATAACGCGATGAAAAAACCGCACGAAATCGGAGTTCAAACGATTCACTAATTTTCCCCCAGCGCTTGGGGAAAAGTGGTTTCAACAGCTGGCTGCGCTCATAGCACATGCGCAGTGAAATAGGTTACCACAGCTTGAAGCGGGTTGTCCGGTGAATACTCGGTGAAGGCTTTGGTGTGAGCTATTTTTCTAATGTTTTGTTGATATTTCACAGGCGCGAGCTTTTATATGTTATGACAGTAGATTACCGATTTAACTGTTTATATAATTTCATTTGTCTATTTCACCACACGTTCTTACCAAGTCACTCTCTAAGTTCGATCCTTAAAAGCAATGTCATTATTTAGCGTTGACAGAATTTCTAACTGTCATATAGATATGTCGTTGTCACAGACAAACCTCAATGTCTGTTTTTGAAAGCTATGTCTCTGTCCTTAAGATCTGTGGATGTCACAGTATTACGCTGATGTGTCATTCAAGATTCTAAATTATTGATGGTACTAGTGTTTTCATTGAAATAACATTGTATATTTGTTATTATGTTACTAGTTTGCAAGTTCGATTATTTTTCAAGGATTCAATTATTTTGCAAACTCAACTTTTATTGGTCAGTTGTGTGAAGGATCAATAAACAATCACAAAAATTCGTGTTCGAGAGAAAGGTTCTCAAACAGTTATAATGTATGTAGAAGTGTAATCCTCCCAACAATCTGAATTGCAATTTATGGTGTTCAATAATTGCTGATTTTGATATTGTTTTATCAGATCTGATTTTTCAGTCAATATATGGTTTAGGTGTTTAAAATAGTGAATGCCAGATTTAGACCTTACCTTTCAACATATTGGATACATTGACTCACGTGAACTGATTTGTAAAACATACCTTTGCTTCAATTGCCGTTCACATTGTGAAAGCTTCGATCTTTAAATGCTTCAAAATTATTGACTTCCTGAATATTGAAACAATAGTGCTCTTTTCCCTCGCCGTCCTAGCCTGTTACCAATCGACGTTCAACCATGGTGTTGTCATTTGGGAAATTACAGAAGACTAAAGCACGCCCCCATAGGCTATGAAGTTTAGCTCATAAGGTAAAAAGCAATTTTATAGGTCTGAGAAGACCAATAGAAAGAAACAGGTTGAAATTTATACGTGCACATACATAAAGGCGAGTTTGATGAATGAGGAACATCAGATGAAGCGTTCGTCAAAGCGTTCGCCATGGACTACATATATATCAACCATCCAACAACCCATAACTTGTTTGAGTGGCATTTTCGAACTAGAGACGTACAATATAGAACAATTTTTTGGATGGATAACAACTTTTATTTTTTCGATTCTTGTACCGTTGTCTACAATCGGCTGACTCAAGTCTATATGTGGCTGTCAGAGATTCAGAGAGCAGTCCTGCTTGACAACGGTACAAGAATCTGTATCTAAACGTCGCACTCACGAAATAAAGAAGTTGTTATGCATAAACAATGTTCTACATCAACCCATCAACCCATAAACCCATCCACTCATCCATTCATCCTCCCATCCATAAACCTATCCATACAACTATTCACCAATGCCTCTTAAAAAGCAGAAAATGAGTTATTAACAATCGGCCACTCACCTGCAGGTACTATGCTGACTGTTTATGTCACTGACCCGCCTACACCGTTGTCCACTGTCAGACTGTAGTCCCCGAAGTCCTGCTGTTGGAGGTTAGTAAGGTGTAGTCTGGCAGTGACTGAGATGTCTGAGACAGGGCTGGAGGAACCAGTGAGGTCCCGGTAGGTGCTGATGGATCTACTACAGGTGAATGAAGGTAGGGGTATAGGCCAGGACTGACACAGACACAGATACAGTCAGGTCAACACCCAGTGTAGAGGCGTACTTGAGTTGCTGTGAAACTGTCCCATCCAGTCGCGGTGAACCTGATGCACAACATTTCCCACGAATCAAAGAAACACACCCACGCCTTTGTTTCACAAATACATATCACTTATTTACCAATTGTGAATATCTCATCTGATTGATCAGGACTTATGTTCAATTAACAGATGTACTAAAACCTTTCAGCATTATATACTCAGCATAAAAAACGTCAGTAATGAAATTCAAAATTAGATAGACACTGTAATCAAATCAGTACAGAAATGGACATAATATGCGATCAAAAACGTTTTTAGGTACAATATCTTGACACGTCAATGAATAACTCAGCACAATTCCAAGTTATTACGTGAACGTTTGCAGTACATTCAGACTCTTGACTTCAGTATCTAGTGTGACCACCACAAGCGGCAATAACTGCAGCACAGCGTCTATGCATGGAGTGTACCAATCGATTGATGAAGGCCATTAGCACCTTGAACCACACCCTGAGAAAGGCCTGGCGCAATAAATCGGCTGTGTTCGGCCTTGGTATGACATTATTCAGTCTCCTTTGAATTTAATCCAAAAGATGTTCTACTGGGTTTAAAATCAGGACTAAGGGCTGGTCACTGCATAATGTTGACACCGTTCTGCTGTAGGAAGTCCTCTCTAGCTCTGGCATTATGGGCCCGGGTGTTATCATGCTGGAAAATGTTCTGGTGACGTGCGAAATGTGGTATGACGTTGGGTCTGAGAGCTTGGTCGATGTAGCGCACCGCTGTGATGCCGCCTTCTCTCCCTGACCTAGGTTCTGGAACACCATAGGACCCACTTCTCTGGTTCAGGCCTATTCCACCCCAATACCATGATGCTTGCACCTCCCCATGAGTCTCTTTCCATAACACATTGGTCTGAGTAACGCTAACCACGTCGTCGCCATATTCTTCTTCTGCCATCTGCCGTTGATACGCAGTACTGACTCTCATCTGTGAACACAACAGTTCTCCATTGCCTGTATCGCCAGTTGCACACGTGAGGAGCCACCTCCTCGTGGTGGGTGCTGGGTAACGCTAACTAGGGTGTAACTGCTGTAAAACGTTTCACCATCAAAGAGAGGGTA